ATAGCTGATTCCCTCCGAAGTGGGAAGGATTTCAAACTGTTGAAGGACTGTTTGTGATGTCTTCTCGTGATCACAGGACAGCCCACAAGAGTATGGAATGATTATACTTCAAGAACCTCAAAGAACAGAGATATTAGCAGACGAACGTCGGGTTGAATCCGCACATATTTATATTTCCGTATAGATCAATCGCCCTCAGAGCCTCTTCGAATGGCTTCACTTCACACGTAGGCAGATTCAAACTACGGTACCATTCATGTTTGTGCTTTAACAACTTCGATTTTCTCTCTTCGGCTTAAGATGCGAGATGCTGTCAGCATTGACACCAGGTTGCAACTACGTGACGCCTTACATAAGGTGGCCAGTGCATTTTTCGAAACAAATTTCGAGGCCACACACTCACCGCCATTACATCATCTGATCAAGCAACTCCGTACTCTTTGCAGTATGACGATGCAGCATCCGTGGGCCAACGAACCAATCCTGTGCTTAGTGGATGCATTCTCGATCCTACCAAACTTTCTAGTGATTCTAGACCCGAGCACCGCGAAATACATCATTTTCCGGCATATAAAAAGATTCAAAGTTCGCGATCTTTAGGTTTTTGGAGGAGACAACAAGAGCGACACAATGCTGTAGGTAAGTAATAATTGAGCATGGCAGAGACATTCATATGGAGTTATTTGCTGTGACGAGGGTAATCTTCGGGATGACCATTCATGACACTTTGGGCCCCAAGTTTCAATTACAACTGTGTTGAACTACATCCGACTCTTGGGCTTATCAGTACGGATTATCATTACTAACGTTGTCTAAATTGCTGAAGTCGCAGCAATCAGAACTGGTTCAAAATGTCACATACCGATATGTTAGCTGAGGATAAATAACATAGCCTTTGACCCTGTTTTCATTCAGTAGGACGCAAGCTTCACTAACAAGTGAACGGTGGATCTAAAAATCAACCTAGGAATTCGATGCAACTAAAACTGATGCACTAGGATAGCGCACATCCTCAAGGGTACAGTGAGAACCGAGGCGATCTCGTTTTTTCATTCTATCGACACGTAAAACCGGACCCTTCGCACACAGGAGAGTGCCAATTCTCTCCAGCGTTTCGAATGCCCCACTGCTGCCAGTTTACAAACAATGGCTAGTAAGCAGCCGTTAGTAGCATGTTGTGACTGTTGTGTGGAATTCAAAGGTCCGCTACACCGTTTGAGATTTGTATCTACTGTCGCCTCTTTACAATATTACCCTTCTTTTAGCGATTTCGGGTGAACTAGTAAACTTGCGTTTCGTTCATGCTATTGCGAAATCGATCCAACCATTGCATTCCGTCGTATTCGGACGAGCTGGGATACCTTCATTCTAATTCACGATTGACTGTGGGGTCCAGTCGATTATACATACTGCAGCTCCGAATTACATTCTATAAAATACCGTGTAGATTATTCTAAGTTTGCTTTCATTTTTTAATCGGATGAAACCAGTTTATCGAAAGAATGAATTTTCGGATCATTCTCATCTCCTGACCCCCTTTGAGATAACAGTTCAGAGCTGGCGACTGTTTACATGTGTAGCCCAAACAAATATGAAATGCACAACACTCAGAAAATAAGCTAAAATACGAGGGTGCTGTGGACATGTGGTGGATTGTTTGCCAAACCCCTTTGAAACGATGAATTCCCAGTCAGTCGCAAGCCTCTTCCAAATGATGGAAAAGCCAAGACATAATTTCATTCGATTTTTCTAGCCAGTCAAACAGCATCCGATACATTCCGAATAATGGACGGAAAAAATTGAGGAGCCATGCTATTCCTCTGAAACAACCGTGATTAGCGGTTTTCTTTTCTGACTACTCACGAGTAGCCTGATTTATGCCCGTTTATGATGACGCCGTTTTGACTCCTCGCTGCTTGTTTCCAAATTTTTCGCTCCTGCTTAAAGTCTGCTTATTCTCCAGTAACTCATATCAAGACTTGTTGTCTGCTCGTTTTCGCTTGCAAGTCCGTGTCCGCTCTACCAACTTTCGAGTGTCAACTCTGACGGAAAAATGGATCGATAGGGAGCCGAACCCACATTGACATTTTCGGTAACACGGTGTACGGCAAAAGAAAGGACCTACAACCTAGGTGATAAGATGATTCTTAGCTATCCTTAGCTGCTCTTGAAGTCGACGCCAGATCAAAAGGCAAGTGATGTACCGCAGATAAAAATTGTGATTTGTGTGATCAATGTTTGTATTTTCAGCTAGAATGTCCCAAGTGGAAATTTGGCAAATAAATTCATCATGAGTGCTGGACAACTTCTTTCGAGTTAAATGGAAGCCACATACAGTGATACTTAGAAATACATGTTAATATTATTCCATTGGGGATCGAACTTGGGAACTCAAACGGAAATAAGCCGGTTCAAATAAGTGGAACACGAGAAACAGAAAATAAATCAGGATTTGACCACAAACACGATGTATAATACGGGTTCCGTTAGAAAAAATAGTATTCACAGTGGTTTATCTATCACAGCATTTGGGGGCTGAGTGGAGGAGTGGAACGACCTGGACGTCCGCACATCCATACAAAAAACTCCCGGAATCACGACAGACAACAAGATTCGCTTGTCGCTTCTGTAGAGAGGAAACGTGAAGAGAGAAACAATGTTAGATGTGTTCAAACAATAAGGCAGCCGATTTATGTATCTGCCTGAGCAAGATATGGATTCCAAAGCAGAAGATGCCGTTATCCATAACTAAGGAAATATAGAGTGAATCAACGACATGGAACAGGGATAGAGACGAAATGTATTGACCCTGGGCCAATCGGCCCGTCATGCGAGGAAAATTGTATGTTATGTCTGTAGTCGAATAGACCACCATGACTCGATTAAGTTGGTGGAAGTTGAAGAGTGCCTGACCAGATAGAGACAACCAAGAGTTTCAGATGCAGCTCTGTTGGTACAATAGGTTGTTTTGGATAGGCTGAGGGATTCGCATATTGATAGGTCCATGAAAAACATAATGGTGGAAATGAATGGGTGTGCTGGTTCACTGTTGGTTTGCTTTTCGTACCAGTTACATCCTAGAAAAGTGAAATGAAGGTGGATTCGAACAAATAGTTCAACGCGTAAACGACCGCTGAACTTCTTTCGACGGCTCACGTAAGGTGCTATACCTTCCAACTATGATAAATGGGCACTAATTAGTGATCCAAAGCTGGTTAACCACGATAGGTCAGCCTTGAGAAACCATAATGATGCGGTATTCGAGTTTCGTTGTCATGCTTGTGCCCTACAATCAGTGTATAGCGCCACAGCAAGCGGGCAGACACGGGATAATCTTCGCGCGGCACTCACTCCGTTGGCTTCATTGCAAACCTCACTCAATTCAATATCATAAAAACGAACAACAGATAAAACTGGGAAAATGGAAGAACTACGAATGCAACCCGTTACGCAACAGATAGGTGACCCAGCTCCAAGGGGGGGAATCAACTGGACCAGGAAGGAATGAATAAAAACCTACTACACTCATCTTAACGGTAACTGCTAGTATCAAGCTGAATTTCGTTCTGGTTAGGGATGCATCGATCATATATGCACTTCGTAACAGGTGCTGGAACAGTGATACCCTTTTCGTAGATCAACAATGGTCGTTTTCTTCAGTCTGAAAGCCGCTTTTGATTCTGCCGATCGTCGGAAACTACAGCAGTATCCAGCTATGAAAGACATCTCTCCTAAATTGTTGTCTTATACACTTCCTCTCGCTACGGCCAACTCACCTAAATTCACCACATCCAGTGATGGCAGACGCCTGTCACCTCTGTCAACCCTTCCCCTTTGTTTTCGTAATCGGTGTGTTGCATGAATCTTTTTTACCCGAATTTAACATTCCATGACTCGAAATACTCCCGAGAAGTCTGGTCACGGACGCTGAGTACGTCGAAAATAGCCCTTCTTGGGTCAAACGCTTGAGAAATGCAAATCATTTCAAACAACCTACATAACCTTACCGCACAGTTCGGTTCGTGGTTGGCACCTGTAGAGTGCTGTGTTAGGCCAAGATGTGATAAGATCAAGCCCAAACTTCATATTTTAAGTCAGGTGACCAACGTGGCAGGTGAGTTTCTGGACAGCTGCAGAAGTCCCGGTGGACTGTTAAAAGGAGAAATCAATTCCCGAGTCGGGAAGCCTAGATCAGCGTGTCAACCCCCGAAACTTATGGCACCAAGGTGATCTCAGTTCGACTGTCAAGAGTAGGACATACAAGATCGCGGTCCGTTCCCTCCTACCTTGTGTATCAGAGACCTCTCTGTGTTTGACCATCGATAACTTCGAAGTGTTGCTGTGTCACCCGGGAAAATCAAATCAGGAATGTTGAGGCACACCAAAGGTTTTCAGGAAAGGTACCCCCTTCGATAGATCAGTGGTCACAGTCCACAAGCAACGCTGGTCAGGTCATGTCCTTCGTATGCTGTTTGTCTCACAGAGGCTTCTCCACCCAGCCATGTATCGCAAGGTGGGTCAGGGAAAGTCAGTCTACGACTCGCTAATGAAGCACGGAAGCCCCTACCAGTCAACTCAGTCACTTCGATAACTGCTATCTCCCTGACGATTGAGAGCCAGAAATAGCTAAGCGGTTATTATGCGAACTTACTGACAAGAAGGTCCGTGGTTCGAACCAAACCTTGTCATCTCGACTGCTCCCGACAGAGCCTAGACAGCATGACAGTATCTCAGTCCTGGTGCTTCATTCGGGTGGCATGGCATCTAGGCACCCAAAGGGTGTTCCAGCTGAACAATTTTTTAACCTCCCTAAAGCCTTCACTGGGTGGACCTTTCTGCCATACCGGACAAACAGAACCATTTATGGTCACTGAAATGGTTGATCTATTGCCCGCAACGCGTGGCCCTGATGCCCTCGTTCTCTTTATTCTCAGTGGACGGCGCTGTTTGCAGATGGAACCACTCTAATTCGGTACATGGTTTGTGGCTGAAAAACTGACCAACTGACTGACTGAATAATTTAGTGTTCCCTTGTGTATTCGAGGTGGTTGCGACAAAATAACGGAGGGACCTGAACATAAAATTGTGCGTAAATATTTATCAACGATTGACTTACCAGCTTCAGGGGTAACCTCAACACCAACTTCTTCGGGAACTGGTGACACAGAGTGCCGTTCAGTAGAGTGAGGAGACTCGTTCGAGACTGCTGTTTGTTGCTGTTTACCGCTTTCCATCAGATCCAAGACGAGTTTCAACTGAGAGGAAAACAGAGAGGATGGTCTAGGATAAATCGACTATCGCCGGAAGCTCGGTGCTGCTAAGGTTCGCACATACATGATCATCGTGAAAGGAAGAAGGCCCTTCGCTGCGAACTCGTTAATTGGCAAACACAAACTAATCAGTTACAGTCATTAGACACAGTTTTTAAAAACTTAACATTCTCAAGCGTATTCCTGATATTTTCTGGATATTCATTGACTATTACACAAGGATAAATGAACACTGCAAAGGGGTTCCACAATTTCCGCAATAAACTATATCTTCCATCAGATGGGGGTGTGGGTGGAGCTTGGACACCAAACCGTACACTACTCGCATGCTTCATCAGTAATATACAATGTTATACGGATATGCCTCTGTGCCTGTAGGTTTTTGTCAGATCAAACTGCTATTAAAAGTGAATATATCAATTGTTCAACGGCGTTTCACCTCGCAAACCTTTTTTCACTGTAACTGTGGTTTAGTCGATGACGTACCTGGTAAAAGTGAATCACAAATGAGGAGATAGATAAGTGGTGCTCAACACTTGACTGCGAATAAAACCGAAATTTGATTGCAAATCCAAAACTGTCGACAAAAGACATGCATGTGAACAATTATCCGTGACTTCTTATCTGTATACCCTAGAAGAATCTGAAAGTAACAATCTAGGCCTCATCATCATCATCATCGACAGCATGATATCAGTGTTCAACACTGACGCTTCACTGCCGTACAACTATGATTTATTAGAAAGCCTTATTGTGAAGAAAAGAAAGAAATTGGACGGGAAAGGAGGTTAGTGCTAGTCTACCACAATCATCCCGATATGACTACATCTCCACACCCATTCAATCAATCTGGATAAAAACTGACAAAAAGAATGTCATTGATATCTATTGGCAGCCACATCTTGCAGGGTCTCTGACCAAGCCCAAAGGGGATCACGCGGCCCCCATCTTGAAAAGCGAGTCGCACCGACGGCACTCAAAATTTTCGTGGTCCCTTTCATATCCACATGCAGGGTTATAGGTTGGTCACCTCTCTAAATCAGGCACGGAAAACAGCACCCTCTTTGGTAAGCAATGGCTCGACACAGGCAATATATGGTCTAACCAACGCAGCTTCTGGTGCTGCACACATTCTTCAATGGAAGTCCCCGGTTCACAACCGAAAAATCACTTTCTAATCACTTCTTATTAGGATATTTTGGCCCTGACAAATGCGTGTCAGAGAGAGAGAGTTTGTATGTCAGTAAGTGTCCCATCTCATTGTCTGCGGTGACATAGCTAGGCGTCTTCTTGGTTGACCATAAAGGGCCGGGGAAGGCAGGTAAGAGAGGTTGTCTGATATATCCCACATTGAGCTTTCAGGTAAAGTGTGGTGAATGGGGCAGTGGGGGCCCCTGATATTAGTTCTAGAGTCAACAGTCTAAACGGAGAAACAGTAATTTTCTGCGAGAGTATACGGACAGCGAATAAACCGAAAATTCACTTAGCGACTAATTCAAGAGAACAGTTCAGCTGATTGACTATAAACCATGTGCCGAAGGTACGTTGGTTGAAGCTTCCGAAAACGGGAGAGCAGGAGGGATACAACCAAGTGTTGGCGGCAGTGGCGTGATGATTTGATTTGAGAAAATGGTGAGGGCGGAAGATTTGATGTACGGGTGCCACTGACTGCGTGATTGAGCCATGTCTACCAGTGTCATTAACCAGTGGTGAGTTGGGTCTCGGCGTCCCACCCAAGAGCACGGAATCTGCACCAAACACAGCTGACGTCCAAGACAGTTGCACACAGTGTATGTATGCGTTTGGGGACGTAGAGGCCTCAGAACCAACTCGTGATGAATTGGTTCGGAGAAAGTAACGACCGAACCTAGGGAGTGGAATATGGTGTAGACAGCTGTCACGAAGTCACAACTGACGGCATCTACGGAAGAGGGCCAACCGGTTGAATTTTCAACGGACACAGCTCACCGCTTGGAGCCAGTTGGCTACATCCACACATCTAGACACTGTATCAAGGCGCCCGAAAGAGCTGATCTCTTCAAAGCCCGTTATGCTCTCAACCTTCGCCTAGGAAGGCCGACTATGGTTCACCAACAGTCACAACTGCGGCATCTACGGAAGAGGGCCAACCGGTTGAATTTTCAACGGACACAGCTCACCGCTTGGAGCCAGTTGGCTACATCCACACATCTAGACACTGTATCAAGGCGCCCGAAAGAGCTGATCTCTTCAAAGCCCGTTATGCTCTCAACCTTCGCCTAGGAAGGCCGACTATGGTTCACCAACATATTTGAGCCTGATAAGACGAGCTTCACGCTCCGCCCGCAGCAACCTATGAAACAATATAGCTACTTCTATGAAACCAGCAGCAAATGCCAATGATTGTGGGGCACTTTTGGATAAGCCACAATTCAACAAGATTCATCCAACTTCCAACGGCCCTCGTCTGCGCAACAGCCCAGGTGACGCATACACCAAACGACGCAGACGAATGAAATACCCCACAACACTTCCCAGGCGCCCAGCTCCACAATCAGAAATCACAACAATCGCAAGTGCACAGCCACATGAGGTAAGACTAAACGGACTGCTGAAAGGCCGCACGATTAGGCTGCCATGGATAACTTTCGAGCAGGTCCTTCTAGCCATCACAGTCGAGCTTTGGGGGTATGGTCCTACAAGTTTGCAAGACTAGACATTAGCATACTAACCGATACGTCAATAAACGACATCATAATAATCGTCCAGCTGTAACATCTTTTGAGGGAATAGTTGCCAATACGAAAACGAATTTGTGATCACTGAGCACCACGGTGCGCAAATACTGCCAACTGAAAAGCAGGGTGGCTAAACAAACATGAATAGAAAAGATTCAAACCTAAAGGTGTTCAATTTCACATACCTCCTTTAGGAAGGAACTTCGACGGGCGTCGTTGGTATCGGCTGGAAAATAGAACGATTGGTAAGTAGCGATTATGGACAAGGGACATAATATACTGGAATTATCCAGATGAGGAAGTTGGATGGGTACTACGTGTCTAGAACTGGATACTGTATTTAACTCCGGTTATCACTTGACTTAAGAACAAGTAGGTTTCGCGGAACCCCGAAGTCTTTCGTAATTAAGTGTTTAGCATGGCCGTACACGTCGCATACTATTTACCACGTCTGAATGCAGGCTTCCGATAAGTCTACCCAGCGAACCTTCAATCACAAAGACAACCGATCACTGTGCAAACTGCAGAGCCATTCTGGCGATAAGAACCAGAGAATCGCCAGCGATTCTTTACAGGAATTACATGTAAGGAAGGGAAAGATAAGTAGGAATGTCAGGGATACCAGATTAGTCCCTTGTATCTGTATGCATTCAGCCCATGGTAGAAAAAACGGATCAATTCAAGGCAGCCTTTGTCCCAGATTAGATTACGTGGAACGATCCCTCGTTCCACATTGGGGCGAAACTTCAAAAGCCCAAACGAGCCGGCGTTCTATAACATATTCAACTGTTGGTCAACGATACACTCTGGTGAAGCATATGCAGGGTTTATGGAGCACGCAAAACAAGAAAACAGTCGAATTTTCAAAGCATCATCTAGTCAGCGTTATGGAATGGATAACAAACAACTCCTAGGGGAATCGAAATTATGGACGTATGGTCCAAATGAAAACTCTGGTTCGCTGAAGATCGCGCAAATATAATACACTCTGGTTACTAAGATGTGGAGAGCGGAGGAGGAAACAATGGAAGGAATGAAATGGACTGCAGCACCTAGATTATTAACGGACACTATGCGGCATTATCCGGGCTCCAATTCCATAAAAAAAAAACGGATCGTGAAAATAGGAATTCCAAAAAAGTTCCTCAAAAGACGGTTGCAAAAATCGATGTTGTGTAATGTAATCAAATTGAAGTTACTCAGGATTGAACAGTCAGTATACTCTCTGTAAAAACCCAAGCAACAAACAAGTGTTCCAGTTATTCACCCGAGTATTTTTCCTTTGAACCAAAATTTCACAGCTTGCTAACTTGTCCTCTTCCTCCGAAACGATACAATATAGCACAGATTTGTCGGAGTTCGCACTGACTAGTGCACGATCTTCACAGCAATATGAGTCGAGATCGCGTCCATCTTACAGTGGAACCCATCCGGGCAGTCGGCTCGGAGTGAGACAATACGACGTTATTTGAACCCTTCTATAATTCGATATTTCGAATGCGAGTATGATCTGTGCCATACGTACGGCTACGAGATGTGGATATTCCAACTGAGAAAACGTGTAGTTTGTAGCAGCAAGAAGTAAAAAACAAAAACAAACAGCCAACTGTCTGGAGGAGAGAATGAAGAGTTTGCTGGCGCAATGGTATGTCCATTTCAAATGAAAATAAAGGTCGTCACTGACGACTGTTCCGTTGAGACCTACGGAAAGGAGTTCGACTCCCCATGTTTTTGTTTACTACAGAAAAAAAGCAAAAACCGCTTGATGATGTTTCCCATTTAGTGGACTGAAAGCCCGACCTAATAGCGTACCGATACGGAAGGACTCTAGGCTATTTGAAGAACGCACTAATCATGTTGCTTGGCATTGGTCGTACGTTGGACATAAAAGTAAAGTCGGTCTTTGGTCGAATCGGGGAGTTCAAAGTTGTCTTGACATTTGGGAACAAAAAAATCGTTTAGCTGCAGCACCCTTTCGGTGCCTAGCTGCCGTGCCACACGAAGGAGGCACGAGGGGATCCCTCGTTCCACATTGGGGCGAAACTTCAAAAGCCCAAACGAGCCGGCGTTCTATAACATATTCAACTGTTGGTCAACGATACACTCTGGTGAAGCATATGCAGGGTTTATGGAGCACGCAAAACAAGAAAACAGTCGAATTTTCAAAGCATCATCTAGTCAGCGTTATGGAATGGATAACAAACAACTCCTAGGGGAATCGAAATTATGGACGTATGGTCCAAATGAAAACTCTGGTTCGCTGAAGATCGCGCAAATATAATACACTCTGGTTACTAAGATGTGGAGAGCGGAGGAGGAAACAATGGAAGGAATGAAATGGACTGCAGCACCTAGATTATTAACGGACACTATGCGGCATTATCCGGGCTCCAATTCCATAAAAAAAAAACGGATCGTGAAAATAGGAATTCCAAAAAAGTTCCTCAAAAGACGGTTGCAAAAATCGATGTTGTGTAATGTAATCAAATTGAAGTTACTCAGGATTGAACAGTCAGTATACTCTCTGTAAAAACCCAAGCAACAAACAAGTGTTCCAGTTATTCACCCGAGTATTTTTCCTTTGAACCAAAATTTCACAGCTTGCTAACTTGTCCTCTTCCTCCGAAACGATACAATATAGCACAGATTTGTCGGAGTTCGCACTGACTAGTGCACGATCTTCACAGCAATATGAGTCGAGATCGCGTCCATCTTACAGTGGAACCCATCCGGGCAGTCGGCTCGGAGTGAGACAATACGACGTTATTTGAACCCTTCTATAATTCGATATTTCGAATGCGAGTATGATCTGTGCCATACGTACGGCTACGAGATGTGGATATTCCAACTGAGAAAACGTGTAGTTTGTAGCAGCAAGAAGTAAAAAACAAAAACAAACAGCCAACTGTCTGGAGGAGAGAATGAAGAGTTTGCTGGCGCAATGGTATGTCCATTTCAAATGAAAATAAAGGTCGTCACTGACGACTGTTCCGTTGAGACCTACGGAAAGGAGTTCGACTCCCCATGTTTTTGTTTACTACAGAAAAAAAGCAAAAACCGCTTGATGATGTTTCCCATTTAGTGGACTGAAAGCCCGACCTAATAGCGTACCGATACGAAAGGACTCTAGGCTACTTGAAGAACGCACTAATCATGTTGCTTGGTATTGGTCATACGTTGGACATAAAAGTAAAGTCGGTCTTTGGTCGAATCGGGGAGTTCAAAGTTGTCTTGACATTTGGGAACAAAAAGATCGTTTAGCTGCAGCACCCTTTCGGTGCCTAGCTGCCGTGCCACACGAAGGAGGCACGAGGGCTGGGATACTGCCAGGTCGCCGAAGCCTAGACAGGGAAGTCGAGCGGTAGGTCGGATTCGAACCACGGAACTTCCGGTCGCGCTCCAACCACAAATTTCTACCTGCCTATGAAGATTGCCCAAACGGGACTTGTTGGCTGAATGACTAATAAACGTACCTTTCGCTATTTGTAAATACTCGGCGAAGTTATCTTCAGAGTGTTTCAGTGCTTGATGCAGTCGACCGGTTCGAAGCTAAACAAAGGCAGGTGAGCGAAAAAAATTAAATATGGAGTGATAGCGAGTTCCAATCCATATAATAAAATAGTAGTAGTTTTACTAGGAGGCTGAACGTGATATGGGTGAGATTTCATCACCAAAAAACGTATTGGTTATGGGACTAGCATAGACCCATGCCCAAATTGATTGGTATTGTCACAGTAGACCACAGCCAGAAAGTGAATAGTGGGCGCTAAACTCCTGCATATTTGCGTCCTCTACGGAATCACGTAAAGAACGAAAACTGGTTAAACTCACCGGCGAGTGCTGCACACAAAATCGAGGCTTTTTACTTTCATTCATATTTACGTTCACTTGCACAAATTTTCCCATCAATGTAGCTAGGATCGTACCCCAGATCAATTTCAGGAAGGTATCTAATACAGACCTTCCCAAGAAAAATGTAATTGAATTGTTGCTGCTACAGGCCTGATGACAGTGCAGACGAAGGCATAGCAAAGGCACTGAATGTACGTTAGTACTATCGTAGAATCCTTAGCATACAATTAAAACTTGGTCAAGCTATAGGATGTACTGGCTCCAAACATGCTCCTCAAAATCTTAGAAACAACGGAGACTATATGGGCTCACGTGTATGTCCATCGTGGTTGGATCAGTATTGATGAGCGTGTCTCACGAAGTCAGTAATCTATCACAGATTACAGCTACTCCTAGGGTTAGGAGCTGAGGTCATTTTTAGCCAACACACAAGGTGGATGAACCGTACCGGCTGGTATACTAGTAATTAGCCGACAAGTGCCCCTAATCGGCGAGGACTTATCTACAGGTGTGCTGACAGATAATTTGAATAAGAATAAGCTTGACATCACCGCCACCAAAGGACCAAGGCACTGTCCTAAGGCTACAAACACGGCGACGAAGAAACTACAAAATAGTTCAGATGATTGGGAAGTTATTCCAGTTTAAGCGGATGAGGAAACTCACTAGGGAGTAGAATTCCTCTAACCATTCAATTAACTGCAAGCAGTTTGTATCCGAATCAGCGCACATTGCTTCTGAAAGAATAAAGAATTGAAACAACAACTCAATAATGAGCAAAACTTACGTAAGCGCGTAAACACCTAACAACCAAGAGTCAGTTGCGTATGAATCGCAACACACAGAAGGGTGGACTGCCTACGCTGAATAAAGTGAGGGATGTCATGCGTCGTCCAGGCTGGTTTGCTGATGGACAGACTGTGACAAACCTGAACCAGAACTATCAGACACTACCAATGCTGTATGAGGATACCAGGTGTCGTTCTTCTTTCGAGTCACCTGCAAACTGTTTACCACTTTCAACCATTACTATCTTCGTCTTCGGTTCGCAGTGATCATGGATGGACACAATTACATGGACTCACATCCGAACAAGAGAAAAAGTTTGGGAGCGATGATTTCTCGGCATGTCCAAGCGGGGTGACATTTAGGCTTCAAGATTTGGAACGATCTACCTATCCGTCGGAACAACGGAGTAACAAAACGCGTCCAATCTTGCGAACGAGTCAAACTGAATTACAGGAAGTAGTAATTAGGTGCACGTATCGATAAGTAAAGTAAGTAGAAAATAAAATGAAAAAAGTCTATCCATGTGGGCCATGATTCGCCTTATACCAGAGTGAGGATAGTTGGAAAAGAGAATGTTAGGCTAACAAGTGTTGCCAACGATTCATCTTCTGGTCAGTACAGAGCAAATACAGGATAAAGCGTAATGAAGGTGCACCAATTACGGTGGGAGAGGAAAATTTCTGTGCGATCGATAATATGAGTCCAACCGCTGTTACGACCAGTTCCCTTACTATGCTACAACTCAGTGGCTAGTTGAATTCCTTGAGCCTAGGTGGCGCCGAAAAGCTCATGACAGTCCGCATGACACATTTCAATTCGTGGACCTTATGAGACACATTAATATCAACCACAGAACCATAATCTCACCTGATTTGGTGTGCCTATTCATAAATTTACCTCTGCGGGAATCTGTCGCCTGCCTATGCACACATATCGAAGCAACAAAGGTTGAGTTATGCAAGAGAACAGATAAGCTGAAGGAACTCTTACACTGAAACCTTAATGTACAGCTTCGTTTTGATGATACTTCGTCGCACCTAAGAATTTTTAAACCTGCGTCTAAATGCTATATACACAATATTTCCAAAACACTGATAGTTAAACACCATTGATGTCAGTTCCAACCAACCTTTCAGCGTAATTGGAAGATAAGACTAGGGCACCACCGCTCAGAAACAACATCGTTAGAAATGTGAGAAGCTAGGACAGAAAGAAGAAACCTCATGCCACACCGAACAATCATATTGAGATTCTACTTAATGTGTCAGCAAACCAACCAAACACATACTCAGTTCGAACAGTCGTGCCGTGTCAGCCAGCAGAGCCATTTGCTGTGCGTAAGTGGGGGCTGAAGCGACATTTGAATCCACATCATCCGGATGGGTGCACGGAGAGGAATTGATGTCCATACTGAGTGCTCTGACTCGTTGCATCCTACGAAGTGAAGAACCTTCTTGTGAGCGGAGCGGTTTCTCTTCAGGATCAACAGATGACATATCTCGGGTAGGTGGTGGACTTTTCGTGATAGTGGGGCAAACAAGTGTCTCAGAGTGAGCGACACGACCTGACCACCGTGATTTAGAACGTTCCAGTTGGGCGTTTGGAGCATCTAGAAACGGTTTTGGCAAACTATTAGGTGCTGCTTAGCAAGTGCAAGAATGGATCTTGTTCAACAGGCACAAATGAACTACAGGAAATGCACATTGGGAAGGTTAGTTGCACGAAGCTACCTGGTGCATCAGACACCGTAGGAGTGATTAGGTTCACGAATGAGTCATCTAAACATCACGTTGATGAAAAATTCACATGCAAAAGTACGGAGAACTAACAGAGTGAGGAATCTTTAATGTCAGGCACAAGTTTAATGACGACATGGCTTAAACAAGCACCAGCTTTCAGCGCATCGCTGCCGAAATGAATGCCAGTTAAAAACACCATAATGGGTCAGACGCCTTTACCAATTTTTAAAAATACACAACAGATGTTTTAGCACAGAACAACCAACCACTGGCAGAATCATATGGTGCGGCCATCCCAGAACTAAGCCTGAGAGTTGAGCTAGACGACGAGAAGCCAACCGGTTGGTCCGAATTCGACTGAGCGGGATAGTCGACAACCCTCCAAGGTTTAAGTTTGAACTTCAGCCGATTCGATAAAAGGTGAAAAGCTCGAACCCACAGATTCCGGCGGGGTCTACTTTTGTTTGTTGCACGGATTGGCTTGCACACCAGGCCACCTGTAGCAACAACAATAGTGTTAATCCCGATGTCACCAGAAGGCATAGCTCTAGAACAAGAGTGATAAGGACTTATTACTTGTTCTACATCTCTAACACCGAGAGAACGCACGAGGAAGAGAGAGACAGGGGGTAGGCAACCAAGCAAGCTTGCATACATGTGGTGCTTGTGCTCATACAAGTTACGGTCAGATTTGCATACCAGAACGCTCAGGAATACCATTTTAATTCGCGTGATTGGCGGTATGCCCAAGCACATATCCTTGTGGCAAGATGAGCCCCACATTTGGCCACACAGTCACGTGAACAGCATTTTTTAGTTGGATTAGCTTACGCATAGGATGCTCCAAATAGAGAGTTACACCTTGACATGGGGCAAGATTACACACAGTCGAATTTTGGATAAGTAAGGAGAGAAGTTGCGACAATCATGAACAGCACATAAGATGCGTATACCTGCTTCTTCATGACAGACGGATGAGGTGGTGCCAGAACATGAAGCAGATGCACTCGGAGAACCGGTAGTTGCAGGAGGACAAAATGAGGGGAGCGAGCAAGCTTGCCGCCCTTCGTCAAGGTGGCTAGCTTTGTCTAACGGATAATTTAACGGATCCAGGGTTGCGGAGGGGACGGGGAATCGTTGCTTCGGTGCTCGGTTTTTCATGTGAACCTCCTTTGTGGAAAGTGTGAGCTTTTTGCCTGACGAAGTGGAACCGCGAGTGTGCGACGGCCCTTGTTCGGATGTCTGGGCGACTTCACGTGAGGCTATGATAGGTTGACCAACTGGATCTGTCTTCGGACATTGAGTGAAAGGTGGTGGTTGTGACGAGACTTCGGATGAGGCTGAAAATAGCGAGCAGACAACAACCATTACAAACCAAAAACGGTCATAAGACGTAATGTTAGGAATTGGATACTACAATATGACACAAACCACAAGTTAGAAAACCAAAGCAAGCAACTGTCATTGACAGGAACGGTGAAAGGACTCTTGATTCAACACCTGTAGACAGTTGCCCCACCGGTGTCGTGATCCTACAATAGATCAGAGCAGCTCAGCTCACCACTCTGTGTAGTATTCGCACTCACTGACATATAGAGTCAAATCAACCTAAGGACGTTCCACAACAAGCGTGAACATTTAAAATATCGAACTGCGAGTTCGCCACACTGATGACCAACTGGTATAAGGCTCAGCTAGTAATCGGTGGGTCACGAGTTCGGATCACCGTGCAGCCTTGTGGAATGCGAAGCGCTAGTTATTCGCACCACATATGAAACAATTGTGTAGTGCACCTGTGGCGTACCAGCGTCGACCTACTTCATTTGTAGGGTGGAATGTCGGTTCAAAAACAAATCGGATAGTATGTTTTATGAGTTACTTCTAGGCGACAAAAATTTTGTGCAGACATTTAGAGTATGGAATTTTCGTTCTTGTTGAAAATCCCACTATACGCCTTGACGACATCCAATCAAGGTGAACCGTGTAGTGTATTGCCTACCAGCTATAATCCGAATAAATTATAAACTTAGTTACAGTCAGGACTGCTGGACAATCCATAACTAGCAATTCTTGATGAATCCGACGCGTGAGCTAAACCTAGCCGAACATCATTCATCAGCCATTAATTTGAGCTTACATGGATGAGTGGAGGCCTGTTGTTTCCCCGGTGTTTGAGTCTCCGCCGTCAACCCTGCTGATTGTTCGGATCCACAGCCATGCGAAGCGATAAACAAGCTCTTCAGATAGGTCAGTAGACCACTCGAAGGGGATGAGGGTGTTGACTCGCTATCCAATTCGCTACCCATTTGTGATGAAATTTGAGGTGTTGGAGGAGTCGCCGGTGGAACCATCTGAGCTCTGGCGAGCGAAGCGGAGGTATTGATACGCTTTTCAGTTCCCGCAACTGTCGGAACTAAGACAACAGATTTAAGGAGGATCGGCGCTTGGCAACGAATGAAAGCACCATGTAAACCAGTACACACATAACGACATAAGGTAAATTTTGTTGACTCCCCGCCAACCAGGTTTTACCTCTGTTGGTCACAGTACCCGTTTACTGTACATATACACTGCTGATATAACGCTTTATTTTCGACAGCAGTCGAGTTCGAACCATAGACCTTCTGGTCAGTAAAATTGCGCTCTAACCACTGAGCCATCTAGCCATTCAAACAGTACCTTACATACCAGGTATACTAATATTATCCAGTGGGTGGTTCGTTTTTCACTTACAATCTGAGCTTTGTATATATATATATACTGTACCCAAATGAACGTATACCCTAACATTGAACTGTACTAAAAACGGGAACCATCCTACTGGAGAAAGGCGTTTCGGGCTGTCAACGTGCTGCTCCGAACCCAAACAAACTCGCTTATCTGGTTGGGAAAGAGCACCAACAAGGGGACAGAAACCAGCTTTTACCCTAACATGCGATTATCTATCGACTTTCAAATGACAGTAAGCTAAACCCAGGTGGTAGGGTGAGTAAACTCCAGATTAAAAACCAAGATTAGAATCAGCATGTAACACTGCAAAAGCTCAAATCAATATTTGCCAGCAGGAAAAACGCAAGATGAGAAAGTGAAGGTTACGGACAATCAGCAGAGATTAGATAGGTAGCTGGTCGAAATAAAGATGATTAGTAAAAAAACGGAGAGATTACCTGACGTGGTGGATGGAGAACAGACACCTAAAAGTACTTAGTAAATAGATGGGAGATATTAGAGACACAAAAAGACTAGTTCTTGAAAAAAAGTACTGCTCGGAACGAGCGTGACCATGGGGTACCAAGGCTGTCAAAATGCTCGGAAAACTTCTCAACAGCTGTCCAGGACTAAAGTGCATAATCTGCTCAGTTGACCCATGAATACGATACTGAAAAGCGATTTCGGGAAAACTAAAGTGCTGTGGTTATCATCATTAATGCCATTAAAAGGTTGCCCTTACAGAGTGTGACTCGAGCCAACTCACCATTCTTGGGATGAACGGACGTTTCCGTTTGACAGCTGTGACGATTCTGACCTCGTTTCCATGGGGGTGGCGGTCTGGGTGGGACAGAATTACCGGTACGGGAACCCTCTACTTTCAACCGAGTCTTGACAGCTTCAGCCTGTGTAAAGTATTGTGAAGCCTGAAGAAAAGAGGAGGCAGATGTATCCCTTGCTTGTCAGTTGGAAAGGATAAAAAGACAATAAAGAGCAAGAGTAAATTATACAAACCTGGATGAACCCATACACGTGAAAATTTCTACTGTTTCTAACAGTTGTCTGAGAAGGAAAGTGGGTTCTTCCAGTTCTTATACTTACCAACTGCTTTAAGAGTTCTCTTTGAGAGGTGGAGGTTTCATCTGAGAAAAATGATAAAAAATGCAAAGTGGGTTAAGCACTGTGATGTCATGATATCGAAATAACGTGTAAGCGAGTGGAAGCAGATATCAGAATTCCCGAGCGGATACAAATTAGTCATATATATGAAGTTACTTTCAAACACCTTGACTCGCTTGATTCACTAGTGAGCAACTAGGCGTACATGTTTATGATTGCTACAACCGTGATCAGTGGCCTTTCTTGTGGCCGGATAACCCAGCTTGAATAGCACTCCCACTCGCGAAGAAGTGGTTCTCATTTTGAGCTACTTATGTCAGGATCTATTGTGCAGAATCAAAAACATGGGGCAGGCTCCAGTAATTTGCGAAGTGTGATGGAGTTTGATGGGCTGTGGTACGCGTAGGACTTCAAGCGAAAAAAATAAAGAAGAGGTCATTTAGCTGCAACACCCTTTCGGTGCCTAGCTACCATTCCACCAAGAAGCAAGAGGGCTGGGATACTACCAGGTTGCCCAAGCCTAGACAGGGGAAGATGAGAGGCAGAGGTCGGATTGGAACCACGGACCTTCCTGTCAGTAAATTCCCGTTCTAACCGCTGAGCCTGCACTGACGATGTCACCTCGATTGGTGATGAAACGTTTGCAATCCAACTGCCAAGCTCGGTGAACAGACCAACAGCCAACCGCTGAGCCATCTGGCCCTAAGGAACAGGTAGCGACTGTCCGTCTTGGATTCAATGGATGACTGGAGTTTTCATGAGGAATCAACCTGTTTTCTTTCCATCTTAGTCTCCATTTCTACAATGGATCTAATGTCACTATCGTAGCTATGCTAAGTAGCTTACTGTGGTCCTAGCATCCAAAAGGGCCAAACGACCGTGCAGTTCCTATGACTTGTTACTGAGAAAGGGGAAACCGATCGTGGGCTGTCGATGAGTTTTCACCAACCTTATGAGAAGTGCATTACGGAAAGGGAAACCTCTTATAACAAAAAATATGATGGCGATGATCAGTACATTCGCGCAAGGTTGAGTAGGGAAGTATGCCGCGGACTGAGCAATAGGTAACTGACTTTTATGGACGAAATGTCTGCTGGCAATAAATTTTTTTTTCAAAAAGTCATCATGACCGTTCCGAGAACCATTCGGTGTGTTGCAAAAAACTAAATCGACCGAAAGTCACCAAACTCGAAATTGAAATGAATGCGTGTAACGGTCAAAATCGTTTTGAACCAAGAGACAAACATTTCCAGGTCAAGACCAACGGTGATCCAATAATGGTTCGAGAAAGTAGACTCAGTTTCTTTTTGAAACCTACAGACCAATTACGCTTGCATAGTTTCTGTGTTGATAAAGGGGCGTTTGTGGAGACATCCAGTACCCGATTCCAGTCTACGAATCCGTCACTCCCCTGCTTGTTCAACAGATCCCCACCATGATTATCGACTTTTCGAAATACGGGTAATGATCCATATCGTACGTCTGGTAACGAAAAGGATAAAACTCTAAACTATGTGCAGTCATGCGGCAACTTCAGCTCCAATGATTTAGTCATAATGGTTGCAAGTGTCCTGTGAATCAATGCATCCCAAATGGTAGTTTAGTTGTGCTTCATCCAATAAAGGTAAGAGGACACAAAGTTGAGGATTGCCACATATCGAAGTCGACGCCTTTCGCCATTTGAGTGTAGAGGACCTTATTGGAAAACAGTAACTTGACGACTTAACCATCCCACATACACTCCAGATTTATTGTGGGTGCACCATAAACTAATATTTTTTTCATTTCGAGGTAGCTCATGCGTTAGGGCTCGTGGTTTGGCTCAGTCTGACTGAGTTCTCCCGTCTAGACAATGAATAGCTGGCAGCCTTCAGTTTGTACACTACCCATGCCATAGTTAAATTATCCGACTGGATTAATTGAATAAGAAACGTGCGACTTTATACACCGCCCAGCATGTTTTTTCAACCTAACGGTTGATGAACTGAACTGGCAACAGTGGCGCTTTCTGCTCAATGGATTTGTGGCTGCAAAGGGTGTAAAGCAAGCACGACACAAAACTCACATTCCACGGCTGAAACAAGATGCGCTAAACCGTGAGTGTAGTACTCATAGGCTGCTTCCAAATCATTCTTTTTCTCCAACATTCGGGCCTTTTCTAAATGACTGAGCTGTCAGGAAGAAAAAGAAAACATTTGTGGTGTTCGGGTGGGATGAAATGAGTTGCAGGTTCCATAGAGAAACTTCTTTAAGAGAGCTATTGTCTTCTCTCAGAAAATATATTATACAGTGTGGTGAGATAACCATCGTGTTAACGTTTTGCAGAGAAAAAATAATCGGATCGCACATTAACTCAGATTATTTCTAACCGATCAGATCTTTCCGCACCTTTCGATACACTACTGTTGTTGTTATTCCATTGTTGTGTAGAATATGAACCTGGATTAACGATTTGTCCGTTGCGTCTTATATCCACGGCTGTGGGACGTGCGTGCTCGTTCCCCATAAGGTGCATTTGCCGCCGTTATAAATGAGTGTCCCCGTGGAGGGAAGAATTTGGTCTGACCTGGAATCGCACGTAAGCGGACGGGACAAAATTTCAGCCAGATAGCCATTTGGTCACAAGACATATGTCCAAAGTTGTTCTGCCCAACACCCGTCCAAGGTAGTTCCACTCCGCGTGGACAACTTGGCCCGTAACTCTCTGTACCTGACCGTAGAACAATTTGCTCACACCTGGAGAGGCAACTGCACCCGGTATGGTAATCACTTCGAACCGTGGTGTTTTGCAACGCAGTACTTCGGTTTTGCGTAAATTCGAATAGCAACAAAAGCCGGCTCTGTGAAATCCGCCATGTTACCCCGAATTCCATAAACCTATTGATAGCGCCTCACTCGCAGATCGAAATACTCATTACCCTCAACACCATTAACCGCAACGCAGTAGATTTGCCTGCATTGAAAGCTGTTTCTGGGTGTGAAAATAATCGGGTGAAGTTCTACGGAGTCCAGGGGAACCTAGAGTGGTGCTAAAAGGCAACGATGGAACTCGAGCGAGAGAGCTCGAGCTACGAAGTTGTTCCTACCCACTGAGGTGTAAAAGCATCTAAACTCTCCGACGCCACTGAATGGACAGCCTCATCATGAAATTAATACAACAAAACGAAAAAACCTAGATTCATTCAAGCACACTGACAGAAAACTTACCGCCTTATCCAAACTTTCAGCCGAAGGGGCGTGTTTAATATCGACAAATGGATGTTCGAAAAATTCCGTATGATTCATCCGTTCCTCTGGGTTCCGTTTGAGAAGACCACGCAGCAAAGCAGCGCAGTTTGCACTGATTCGAGGGTCTGACGGAATCTGCACGCATACAATGGACAGGAAATGTCAGTTCTTATAGGAAATCGATCGTCCAATAAACATGCATGTTTGACAGTCTATAGACGTACACGGAGCTAGTTTCTTCAACCAAATAGTTGGTCGTTTGAATGGCTTTGTTTCCCTTAAGACCGTGTATCATGACATATCGCATAGTGTTTACTTTCTGGGCACAGCTGCCAAATTGCTCAGAGAAAATACAGGATGATAAATACATTTGGATGATTCACACCAGTTAGTCGGGAGTTTGCCCTGAAGGACACAATTGGCAACAGGAAACTAATCTGAGATGAGTCAAGTTGGTGGGAAGAACGTAACACATTAACAATCTCCAGGGGTGCAATCAGGTCCATCGTGAAACAGAGCAGATGAAGTTCACTGTATGAAAAAGTGTAAGCTGAGCGTATGTAGGCAAATCCCTCTAAGAAAACAATATCTTCTGCAGATCAAGGGACACGGAAGATAAGCGCACAGACGTACCACAATAGGTTTAGCAGTCAGAAGTTTGGCTTTGAGCTGTTTAGAATCTTCCGAGGCGTAAGGAGGATTTCCAAAAAGGCATTCTATAGAGAATAGAAAGCAATGTATGTTGGACAGCAATAGTGAAGCGATCAGTTGATATCTACACGCCTTTCATTAAAATCCTGGATGTACAACAAGAATAGCTATCCCACACATCTATTACAGCGAAATTGCTAGCAGGCATGATCCATCAGCCAAATTCACTCTGCGAACTGGAGACAAGAGGACAGGGAGAGGCTGACTCATTGCGCAAATGGCTTGAAAAGAATCAAACGTACCGTCGTCTTAGTGCACATGCGAAATATCAACAAAAGCGTGCACCACAGACCGGGTCAACGCCTACGTCCGGTCGTCTCATGTCAGCAACATCTCAAATTGGAAGCGAAGTGACGTCACTACTAACGCTACTGTTCACTCTGTCATTGGCTACACCCAGGAGAAAACCCTTGTGAGGGCATCTAACATATCCTATGACGGACTTCCAAAAGTACACGTACAACAAAAAGCAGAAGCAAGTGTCGATGACGTTTGCCGGCGAATTAGTCATCACCTGTGTTCCATTACGGTGCACACAACACCGTAACCATACAATGCAAACAATTCGACCTTGCTTTCAATCTCGTTTTTCACGTAACGATGCTCTTCTGTGTCAGAATCTGAAAAAGTGGTCTTCGTAAGCATCAACGAGCGAGCGATGAGCACCAACGGCGAAATACACTCATTTGCAAATTACGTTGGTGTTGAGTGAACCGCTAGCAGTAGATATGATCCAACACCTCGACGACAGCGGTTGAATTCAATTATGGAAAAGAAACGATTTCAGGCAATTTGAAGTAAATCGACTACGACGAAGTGGGTGAAATCCTTAGTTGGACCAGCAAAATCCTATCAATGCGCAGTCAAGAAAACTGTCTCGAGCTACACCACCTCTTCGGAGTCGATCAATCTGGGTGATATGGTCTCGACAACTAGGTAATTTTAGGATCAATCCGTGCCTGGTTACTTTGCTTTTTCCAGTGGATACGCGTCCACAATGTAACGACGATCCAAAGGACAGATATTTAAGTAGCATGTTCGATCCAATCCAGCAGTGAAGATGAACAAGATATCTAAATACCGAATTAGTTTATGCTGTTGTTTAAGGGATCAACTCGAAAAGTACCCTCTGGTATGGTTTGCGACTCCAAACTTAGGGTTTGGAATCCAGTCACCAAACGAGACACGAAAATAGAAACTACAGGTTGTATGGATGGGAGGCGATGCAGGGCCTGCGCAGGAGACAATACTGTCAGTCAATAGTCATACGAAATCGGTTCAAAGTTTGCCGACCAGTCAGAGGAGTAGGCCCCCGTGTACGGTCGAATGTTAACGCAAGCTAGAGTAGTCCAGTCAGCAAGCTGCACTTGCTTCACCCAACAATACATGTAAACAATCGGTACACTGCAGAAAAAACGATAGTTGGTTGACACTAGCAACTAAAAAGCCGGAGTCAAGGGGACCGGACAAAAGATTCAAATTTTGGGAAGGCGCCCAAGGGCACTTTTTACCCTAATAGATTGTGATTTTCTAGAAGCAAACCGAAACCTGCTGGATTGATTTCATGGGTCACGACACTTCTATCGGATTTCAAAAGCCCGCAATCTGACATCCGTGGATTAAACAATATCAATTCAGTTTGATTCTTGTCCTCCATCTCACCTTCTGTTTCGTTCTAGTAACCTTCGATCCATCAGATACACCGGTAACTTCCTTTGTCCTTGTTGGTTCTTCAGACCGTTGCCTTATCAACTCCCCCCGTTTAATTTCCCTCAAAACCATTCTATCCTTTATTGTCATATTCTGGCGGTAGTCTTCGTAGACCGCAAATGTGTGTCAATTTTCTAGCAAATATTCTTCGGATGCCGTCTAGCAAAGGACCCTCAGTTTTTGCTGAAGAACTTACGAACGTCCTCGGTGGTGACATGTGTCGATTACCTCACCATTTTTTTCAAATCGGGGAAACAATCATCCAACAAATGATTCAGTCACGCATGCCTGTGAGTAATAGACTGTAAAGGTGCTGAGGAATGCATCCTTGTCCCTTGACAAATGATGACCACGTTGCTACGCGTAACACTTCATCTATAACGGACTGAGTCAAACATAAGCTTAATGCGCAGCAGGCAGCTCAACTATCGAAAGTGCTAGCCGGAAGTGGATCCATTTGGAGTCTGGCCATGGCATTCAATTGCGACTTCCGTGCTTCAAACATCTAAACTACCCACCCCCCGTTAGAAGAAGCAGAGAGCTTTGCTCGACTTCTTGTCTCCAATTCCTCTCTCTTCCTCCGACTTGTCTAACTGGTTTACCTTTGCCGATCAGCAACGCGAGGGGTGCTCACAGTCTCCCGTCAAAACATCGAAATCATCCGATTCAAACGCTATTCTTGAACATTTGTTCCGCAATCGTTCTTTCGAACTTACTCCAATCACTTCAGAATTGCTTCGTCTATCGTCATCTACCGTTTTCCTCAACATAAGAGAATTCACTCGTTTACCCCGTCCCCCAACGTGGTTCCTGCTGTGATCCAAAAACTACTAGCCTATCTTCAACACCCCATTTTGTCCAGGACCCTTGAATCGATTTCTACCACCTCCGTGATCCTGGGTAACTAGCAGCATGGATGAAGAAACCACTGTTGGACGAGTGATAAGTTGCCTCATGTGTCACATATTTGGTCTTCCTCTCTGTGATGCTTTGATGAAAAGGATATGTTTGGCTTAGGTATACGAGAGGTTTCTGGTTGAGTTGAGTATGAAGACCTTTCTTCTGAGTTATCCATGTACGGGCTACATCTAAAAGTGGTCATTTGGATTGAAAGCTTCCTACGTAAAAGTTATATAAAAACATGAGTGGACGGCGTTGTCCCTCAGATTCAGAAAATCAGCGACGGGTCAGTACCCGTTTGAAAACTGTTCATCCTTTATATGGGATATCTAATATTGTCTCCTTCTCATCAGGGCTCAGAGAATGACTCCAGTCTGTACTTCTCTTCATTTCACACCGACTCTAAGACAACTGGGCACAAGACACGACTGTCCTGAACACCGAATTTGTCAGCATCCTCGGAGAAGGGGGTCGTTAAATTCAGAAACGTTCAACCCTTTTAATTTTCTCCATGTATCCATCTTCTTTCGTAATCTTCGCCCGCATTTCCTGATGACGCGAACATCTGGGGAGATTATTTTTTGGGCACACAAACACTTTAACCTTGTCCAAGCTCTCCTTCCTAAATCCTAGAATTGTAAGAGATAAACAAGCTGCTATTATAGTCACATTGCGAAAGCGGTACTAAGAGTATGTTACCTCCTGACAGGGCTTTCTTTGTCTGTGCATGCACTCGGTTGACGCAGTCTGTGTGGATGAACATGACCCATCAAAACGTAGTAGGTTTGAGGTGGCGGTTATTCACTGGAATCCGTGAAATCGAATTTCTCTAGGGTTTGCAAGGGCGTTCCGGAGAAAAAGGGATGCTTTCAAAAGCAGAGCTCAGTTCTGGATGAAACGTACTCTTGGTCGGTAAAGAACTGGCCTAGCCTGGTGAAGTTAGGTCAGACACAGATGTTGTCTTCACTGTCTTCGTTACCCAAACTGATTGGTTGAGTGGTCAGTTATTTGTTGTATAATCAGATAATATCGATTTGTTTGGACAGTTTTGGTGATATATACAGTACACACAAAATCTGATCCTCGGGAAGTTCGAATGAACTAGTCTTACTCTGTGAGAATTTTTCTCTAAAAAAATAATTGTGTGAACATTTTCAATTTTTTCTTTCTTGTAAATATTCTCGAGATCCAGCCATTAAATATCGCAAATGGTTGCACTTAAAGGAACGGAGCAATTTTATCCAATTCGAGGATATTCTAACTTTGGGATTGGACCACTGCACAGTCAAGTTAGGGTACTTTTGGAGATTAACCCCAGTCAACTAAAGCGTCCAGGTTCATCAATTTTCCCAAATCTATCAGGGCATAATTGTCTCAGTTGTATAGAGTTGCAATTATCAACTCACCAAAGACTCCCAAATCCAACAGCTCGGAAAGTTTAAGGAATCACAGGCACTAGTAAGTGAGTGCGCAAGTAACTCAATGGAGCACCTTCATCAGGGTATTGCAACGAAAGTAAGGAACGCATGGTGAAGACGTGGAGATGATTGGCTTTCATTCGACAAGTGAACATCATACTGGATCACAAATAGCAAGGTGATCTTCCGTACATACTGAAGCGGACAGGCTGCCTTACTCAATAAAGTTTCGTTTGGTTGGATATAATTAACATGGAACTACTGTTCCTAATCCGCCAACAACCCGCTACCGGTTTCGTACTGCTCGAAATATGTCGAAGTATATCAGGTTGTGACAGAAGAATACTAATATGCTATTGACTAAAAGGGCTTTCACCGGGTCTCCAGCTACAAAGATTTCAACGGGCATTAACTGTCTCAGGTCCCGGGAACAGCGCTTGCTTGATGAGTCTCCAACAGGGTGAAACCAGTATTGGACTGTGTGCAGATTTAAAACAATACTCCACACCAAAAATGCATGGCAACCAATTATGTCAGTTGAGCTGCGAACGTGATTCAATGTTTGCCAATAAAGTGGGTAAAATATTGTCTGGACTCACCAAAAAGTATGATACCGATCGACCAGAGGTCACAGGACGGATGGTATATACCCTCACAGTAGACTTCTGGAGCCATGTATAGTAATGTACCACGGAGCTCATTCAACTGAATGGTGTCCTTTGTACGTTTGGCGAAACCAAAATCTGATGGGTTGCGACGAATGAAAAATAAGTATAATACCTAACGAGACTGGTCATTCGAAGCTATACAACCACATGCCAAATGAAACAGAGATACTACGGGATGACAAACCGTTCGCGCTGTGAAGCAATGAATACACTGAAAATAGCAATATACTTTATGCGGCAAGGAAAGTGCCATCATCAACAGTCAGTAAAACATCGGGTACCTTTTATCCACTTGAACAATAGTGAGAAGGCAAGGGTTGAGAGCTGTCTTCTTATGGTATTATTAGACCGCACTCCATCATCATCATCAGCGGTAGCAAATCAGTGTTCAATAATGATATTCGCTGTCATGCGACCATTACTTAGTCGATACCCTTAGTGTGAAAAGGGAATAAACGTGGATCGAGAAGGGGCTTGATATTAGCTTAACACAATCCGAAATGCCTACACCTCCAAACACTCATCCACGCAATCTGGATAGAAGCTGACAACATAAACACTGCTGACATTGATCAACAGTCAAACCTTGCAGCGTCTCCAATCATACAAAGAGGGTATCCCGTGGAAACCATCCTGGAAGCGAGTTGCACCAAGGTTGCGCAGACTTTTCGTAATCACTTTCATACCCCTCTGCCAGTTGTCTCAGTTCGACTTTCATGGCATATGTCCCACGGCCACACAACAAAACAGCCTGTATTGTATACTGATACACGAGTCCCTTGGGTTAAAGAATATGCCGTTTTGGTCTTTGGCTTGTTCGCTGAGCTGGGCAATTTGGTTGCAAACGTTTCATCACCAATCGAGGTGACATCATCAGTGCGTAGTTGTGCGTAGCGGTGGGTTAGTGGTTGTGGTTACTAAACACTTAGTAAACGGTCGTGGCCCTCACAAGTGCAGGTCGCTCAAAACGGGGGCACCACTTTCGCAGAGACCACATCATGCTTGAGTATTCCAGATCCCAAATAAAAACTTTGTGTACAACGACGTGAAATCACCGCTCCTATTTTTATGTGATGGACGCCGATATTCATGCGACCAAGTCTGAGCAGTGGATGTTGTGACCAGACCAATAGTTAAACGGCATTTCCAGTCAGTTTTGCCCTACGCAGAACTTCCCGTACAGGTCAATCTCGCTGAGTTTGTTTGGATAACTCCCATCTTCAGTTGGGTGCCCATTCGCCCGTGATGCCGAAAATGTCTTTCTTATTCGCGCTTCTTACGGTGTACATGTACCGCATCGTTTCAAAATGTGTTTTTGTGCGTCTGTTCCTCAAGTCGGGGTGGCGTTATTCGGTCTGGATTTCCTGTGGAAGTAGAGAACGTTTCTGGTAATCGACTCAGCCAGATTTGTATGCTTCACGTTTAATTGTGCCTAAATCCATTCCAGAAGAATAAATTGCAGACGCATAGTGCACAAATTGACGTTATCCCGTAAAAAAATAATAAAGTGGTTGGCAGAACCACTAACCCACCGCTACGCACAACTACGCACTGATGATGTCACCTCGATTGGTGATGAAACGTTTGCAACCAAATTGCCCAGCTCAGCGAACAAGCCAAAGACCATCTACGCCACCTGAGCTACCGACATTCTCCTCCATAGAAAATATGCCGTTTTGTTACTATGGGTGTTTTGAATTGTCAAACGCAACTCCAAACGTACAGTCATGCACTGGTCCCATCTGTTATGTGATAATCGGAACTTATACAACTTCCGAAATATGCAAAGCGCACCACAACTTTGAGTGTCCCTCTTTAGATCATAAGTGACGTGTTCAGTACCTGAATGTGGATGCAAAACATATGCCATATGACTTCGGACAGTTCCTCCTGAAACAACTGCGCCTTCTCTTCATCGAAAACGGGAACAATTTCGTATGCATAATCCAGACCGACAAGATTTCTCTCAGCAACTATTCCAAACCACGGTTTTGAAGATCTACTAGCGTTCCTCTCTGTATCTCCTTGATCACGGAATTACATGGAAATGGAGGGGATGGGCATCCTTCTTCGACACCACTTTGTGTACGGAAGCTTTTGAAAAGCTCTCCGTATACTCCCACACGCCCACAAGTCTGAGGGTAAAGAGAACTTATTACACTCAAAAACTCTTGGGACATTCCTTGCTGGTCAAGCAACCCCTATCAGGCAAGAATCTCGCTTGCTGTTCTGGAGTCAACGCTTCACAAACCACCATAAGGCAACCTGATTACTGTGATAATCACACTCATCACATGCTCCTTTTTGAAAATGGACATTACTCATCACATGCTCCTTTTTGAAAATGGACACAATCACCGGTTCTCTGTAGTTGTTTAGGACGGTTTCCATTTTCCATATGTGGGCAAATAGATCATGCAAGTGCTGACTGAGGATTTCATCTCCAATGAACGATGCGGGTGGGAGGCTATACAAACCAGGAGCTTGGTGGTGCTTGAGAGGACATATATAATTATAAAACTTCGAGGACGTATGTGGTTCCAGGTTCATCGTTCAGAGTTCTACTGCAGTTCAAGGATTCAACTGAGTAGCAGCAGGTTCGAAGTGCCCGATCCAGCAATGGAGGCGTTCTTTATTCAAGATGGTCACACCTTTTCGATCTTTGGTGGTCTTACACGCAGTTTCCGGGGATCTGCCGCAGGGACCAACTAAAATAATCCCCACGTATTTCTGGCTTTCTGGACGTTTTCTATTTCCTTAGCCTTTCGTGTCCACTAGGCTTCACGGCGCACACTAAATTTCATTTGATGTGAAAACAACTCGTCACACCGAATTATGTTGGGGGGGGGGCGGCGGGGAAATTCCTCCGAGAATTAAGCAGTCCCACTGTTGTGTCTGATATACAGTTCTTGAGCGCACCTGGTAACGCCGTACCACAGGCAAAACTACCGGCACAGTGCAAAGATGTAGCGATCTCGTCCCAGCACGAAGCAAAACACATTTTGTCAACAGAGAGAACGATCAAGAGGGAGGTATCTAAACCTTACAAAAGCACAGAGATGTAGATATCTCGACATCGTATTGGGATAAGACACCATCAACACACAAAAGACAGGCGTTAGATAAATGGTTCGACTGGAAACTGGCAGCATACTCGCCGCCGGAGGCGTCTACATGCCACGTCGTCCGAGCGCACACAGGAAGAATCAAGTGGACTACGTCCAGGAGGGCATAAAGATCCAGAAGCACTCAATTTGACGGCCAAATAATCGCGAGGAATATGTAGCGGCCGTTCAGGCTTCATATGACGAACAGGTAAGTCAGGATGGGTAGGAACAACTGCCCCCCCCCCTGTTCGGGGGCCAGCCGTCCCTAATAACCGAACATCACATCAGTTGGATGCACGTGTCACGTGCAGGACACGGGCCAGACGTAGGCATGCCCTGATTGGTCAGAATGCCAGCCAATCCGAGTCAAGCACTGAGAAGGGGGGAAAAACCTCCCCCCCCCCCCGAAAAAAAGAATGATATTAGTGAATCATGATGGCCATCAGGTGGTGATCAAGACCTACCTGTAACTTTTAGGACCGGGTTCGTGCTTGAGGTGAGTAGAATGTTCTGGGGCTTCAAATCCATGTGAATAATATTCTTCTCCTTCAAGTACTGTAATGCAAGTGCTGTGACGGAATTCCTGTTACAGGATAGGTTATATTTCATTACCCATTTGCCGAAGGAATCGTCGCACCAACGGTTCAGGAAGGCGATTTTTCGCATGCAGAAAATCACTTAAGTCGCCTCCTGCGCAGTATTCCATAAACAAGAACACACTGCGGTCATCCCACTGCACCGGAACAATATGGTAATCCCTACATATTCAACTTACCGAAAAGTCCAACATTCGTACAATATGTGGATGGCTCAATTTCTGCAGAATCGATATTTCTGAAACCAGGTTATCTTCACCTCGCTTGCTCAACTTCTGTCTCGGGATACATTTTACAGCAATCAACTGATCAGATCCCTGGGAGCATGCATCCTTGTGAGAGTCAGTCACCTGTTTCCTGATAAGGTAAACTTCTCCATAAGACCCTCGCCCGAGTCTTCTTAATACCGAGAAATTAGGAAGCTTCAACATCCCCAGCTCGCCCACTTCTGCATGCCAGTCGGTTGTGCTAACGTCAAACCCAAAAACAAGAAGACCAAAAACGCTTTGTTACGGAACTTTCGGAATAACACCCGAACAATTCCTTTATATTCTGAAATTTCGGTCAAGACATCCGCGCCGGTGAACAGAAACAACTCGCCATCTAGGTCATTCCTGTATTGTAATTTGCTTTTGAAACTCTAATTACGCAGATGTCAGCAAGTGGGGCATGTAGATAGTGAAACCCCAGAGTGGGAGCATGAGGCTGAACTAAAATAGCTGAAGTCGGTCATGCCAAAGTTACACATTAGAATGTGTCTTACTACTTGTATCCGTCATATAGGACTCAGCTATCACTAACGGTGGAAGTAACATTGGTGCTTTATTGTTGGAAAAAAGCAAAAAAAATGAAAAGAACGGAGCTTATTGCTAGTCTACAACAGACACTCAAGGTGCCCGTACCAAAACTCAGAAAGACAACCAGAATTCACCAGATTCGGCTGACTGTTTCTCTTACCGCAGGAACACAACGATTACGCCTACTGGAGAACCGGTTACCTGCTCTAACTATCAGATACAAAACAGATTGTTCAACCTAGTTCTCACCGACAATCGAGGTGTTGCCTGAAATCTCCACGCTGTATATCATTCCCTATTTCTCTCCTATCGTACCTTAACTGAGCATCTTATGTTGACTACGATATATCATACCATCTGTCGTCCTACTCTATTTTTGGCCAACTGCGCTTCATGCCTATAGTTCACATGTTGGCGAGATGGACCAAGTGGTTAGAGCGCGAATTTACAGACCGGAAGGTCCGTGGTTCGAACCCGACCTCCGCCACTCGACTGCCCCTGTCTAGGCTTGGGCAACCTGGCAGTATCCCAGCCCTCGTGCCTCCCTCGTGTGGCATGGCAACTAGGCACCGAAAGGGTGCTGCAGCTGGACGATTTTTTTCACATGTCCATCCTTCTAAGGTCGAATTCCGATCGAATTCTCGTGATCAAAGCGCACTCGTTCACAGCAGAAGTTTTGTTATTTCGTTTACTGTTTTTCTAACCATGCTAGCCTCTTCAAATCAACTTCCAAATTAATCGAAGCCACCTTGGGTTCGGACTGAATCTCTTACTTTGGCGAATCCGACTTTCGTGACAAAGACTGGCCATACTCTGTGCTCGAAATGGATGCAGCATAGCCCATTTCTGTTCTCAATAAGCTTTCAGCTTGCCAAATATTCAGTCCTTCTCTAGACGCACACTGCACGCACCCTTATCCTACTTAAGGCTCCAGGCTCCTTCCTCTGTACGGTTCTGCCACTGTTCTCTTGTGTCTCCACACTACCGTTTCCAATCTATCAGTGCCCACTTCATTAATATACACACAATGGCTGAACGACACCCTTAAAGTTCAGCAAAGGCCGACGATGAAGAGCGTTCGGGCATGAAACAGGAGCCGATGAGTTTTGAAAAATGTCGTAGAAGTAACGCCTATCGATCACCCAAAACCGATCGGACAGCCTGGATCTGCGATGCCCATGTGACCTTTGCACTCGGTCGTTCGTAATAAAGTGAGCCTTTTTCCGAAATTAAGACACTGGAGCGGAGATTGCAGTTAGTTACAATACGATAACATATTTTTACTCATCGCTACTTCAAATCCGGCAAGATGCCGTTTTTCAGCCCCTCTGGGCTGTTGAACGACTAATACCGCCATCATGTTCGCTCCTCATTCCTGTCTCCTTGCTATAGGACACGCCTGCACAGCTTTCGTGCATAAAGCCATAGCAAGATTTTTTTAAATATAAGCCTGGAAATTCAACTTCCACACGCTATCAAAAGGTCTCTCAGGTGTTCTGACTATATCCCCCGTTATGCATCGCCACATGGCTCCGACTCCCTATCTCCTCTAGCTGAGTTTGCCTGTCGAAGCATTTGTCATATTCTGAAGTTAGTGAGTAATGGTAGGCCTCCGGAATCGGAGGGTATTCCACTAATACTATTAATGTACACTTGAACTTGCACTAACTGTCGCCAAACTTCGTACCTGTTCCTCCGCCACCTCTAAATTCGGTCCTTGTTTTTTTTACGATACCTCATCAATTCCGTTTTAGAAAGAGAACATTAATTGCTCCGCTTAATTAATAGGAATCGCTTGGACTTGTGGAAACTAGAAGCTAAGAGTAAACATGCACTCGAATATACAACATACGGTCCTGATTATCAGCTAGAAGGATGACCAAACATCAACTTCATTTGTAAGAACCGCGTACTTGCCGTACAGTAGTTCTAGCTGCCGCAATTTCGTTCACCGATGATTATGGGAGGGGGTGTGTGCAGGTGCGCATTGAAGGCGGGTATCCCTCCGAATACAAGCCACACGCCCGAAAATTCATTGTCTCGCTCCAAAATCGTCTAAATTCATACTTTGAACATTTCCGACACTAGTGGTGGTACATTTCCAATTCGCGCCTAAGCTGACATCCGTAAAGAGGAATTTTAGACATTTTCAAGTGACAGGTCAAAGGATAGAAATTAACGAGATTTGCATGAGACAACTCAATGAACTTGCCTATGTAGGATATGAAAGGGAACGGTTTTGAACAGAATAGCCTTCGGTATGGCCTGATTTCATGAAGACGAAGTCCGTTACGAGAAACAGTATCAGTCTGTAGTAATCTACGTAAGAATGTATAGCCCTGTGACGACAGTGGCAGTTCTCACGTTCCTAACGCTCAAGGGCGCCAACTGAACCAAATAGCTTTTAGATGGGTTTTGATATGTTGCTTACACCAGACAGGTTGAGTGTTACACCTCTGGGTTGAAAGTAGGATGTTTGTAATTCGAATCCAGCTACTTTGTGTTTTACTGTTACGTTGGTAAGGTTGTTTTGGGATAGAGGAAAGCGGTGTCTAGGGGCACAGAAGTCAGAACTCATTTATTGATCCGTATTGTTCATTCAGAGCGTACAACCTTAATGGACTCAAGGGCCCTTTGTCAGTTGACTGTCGTGCAGAATATTGTCACGAAGTCAACAGTCGATGTTGTTCTCCTGAGGAACCCGGTCAGGATCGTCTGCACACCACACTTTTCAGAGTTGACGAAGTCCTGATGAACAGAATAACGACCCTCATCTTCAGCACCATCATCAAAGACAATAGGATCAGTATTGGCATCGATACTTCGCTGCCGTACAACCATAAAGTTCACCTAATTATATTTGGAGCCTGACAATGAGAAGAGTGGGTGAAGGAGAGGATCTAGTCCCGGTCTGTTCCGAGCATTCTGAGGTGCCTACACCTCCAAGCGCTCAATCCGACGATCTGAAGAAAAACTAACAGCACGAACGCCACTGTCGTCGGTCAGCTGCAATTTCTTGCAATGTCTACAGCTGAGCATAGCCGAGGTCACAAGGATCACTTCCTACCAACAACACCAAAAGTTCTCGAAATCTCTTTCATGCCCTTCTGCCAACTCATACGTTGTCCACCTCGCGGTTTACGCCATTCTTAAGAAGTCAAAGGGAACAACATTCGCATCGGTTGGTGTTCGGCATGCGCAGAACACGACTGAACCACCGTAGTCAACGGTGCTGGATGCCCTCTGTGATTGAAATACCTGCTGCACAACTAAATACCCGTTTTATAATCACCTCGGTACAAATCCGTTGACGCCATCTAAAAAACCTGAGAACGCCTCACATCAACTGTCCGGAAAGGCCACGTCTCGAACCCGTAAAACACCACCCTTACTGTAGCCTGGTACACGCGACCCTTAAGACCCATTGGTATGTCTTTTTGACGCTAAAAATGACGCAAATTAGCAAACATGATCCGAGCCTTTGAGATTTCATTAGGCACATTTCCGCTAGAGAAAACAAAACTACCAAGGTATGCAACCACAACAAGATGGCTCAAGTGCTCAGAGCGCGAATTCACTGACCGGAAGGTCCGTGGCTCGAACCCGACATCTGCCTCTCGACGTCACCTGTCTAGGCTTGGGCACCTGACAGTATCTCAGCCATCGTGCTTCTTTCGGGTAGCATGGCAGCTAGGCACCTGAAGGGTATTACAGCTGAACAACCACAACCTCCAGTGATCCTCCCAGAATTGTAAGGACTCTGTTCAAAGACTGCACGTTCTGAGGCATAAGCGTACATTTTGTATGTTCAGGGTGCATACCGAAAAGATGATATGATAGTGGTTAGATTATTCAACAGAGATTGGCCTTCGCCTACGTCTTCATAGACGGGGACGGTATGGTCTGCGTACTCCAAATCCACAAAGCTCTCACCAGCGACAAGTTGAACACCGGCGTTTTGAGAACCTAGCCTCCGTCTCATTATTTCAGCAATACCGAATTTGAACAGGAATGGGGAGAGTGGATATCCTTGTCAAACGTTTCTTTTTTGAGAGAAGCTTTTGGAGGGCTCGCCATGTAGCCTACCAATCCCAGAAGTATGTTAATATGGGGATCGGATTATGTTCATACACTTTTGTGACATACCCTATTGAGCAACTACAGTTAACAGCACTGAACGATCGACAGAATCGAAAGAATCCTTGAAGTCAAAGAACGCCAAGATTGTGGGTCGTCTACACATGTGGCGTTGCTCTAACACCTGACGGAGTGTGAAGGTGTAGTCAAAGCAGCCCCTTTCCGGTCCAAATCTCATTTGATTCCCACTAGTCAAGGTTTCGCATGCCACTATAAGACAACGAAGAGCCAGTGACGTCAGAAGCCTTATCACAACAGGAGTCAAACGAATACCTGTGGTTAGTACACTCACTGTGAGTACCATTTTGAAAATGGGCCTTATTATCGATTCACCCCACTTGTCTGGGACGGTCTTTTTCTCCCAGATAGACCCAAATCGGCCACACAGGCACTGGCTGAGACACACACCGCTATCCTTGAACAGAGTAGGTAGGAGGTCAACACCAGGAGCACGATAACGCTTCAGTAGAGTTATACATTCGGACACTTCTGAGGTTGAAGGCGGCTACATTTTCACAGACCACCTTTCTGTTGGAGGCCGAAATTCCGGACTGAAGAGGGGGCCAACTGGATTGCTGTTTGAATTACTCTGCCTAGCGGTTCAAAGGTTGTGCTTTGCTGGATATCAGGGAGCCATTCTGGTCCTTGATAATTTCGCTGACAAGAGGCTTCCGCCGAACGAATCATACGGAAGAGCTTGCGGAGGTTTCCAGCATTTTCCGCATCTTCCAGCAAGGACACTTGTTCACATGGCGTCGGATAAAGTTGTGGCTGTGGCCAGGGGAAATTTGCTGCCGGGTCTCGAGTAAAGAAGTGGCCCTAGAGGAGATCCAATGTCTAGATGAGGTTACCTGGGTTGTGCCGCGAACAGAAGTTCCGGATGTGAGTAGCGCTTCAAATGTCTTTTCCCGGCGGCCGTTCTGTCGGATTTCGGACCGTCCTGCAAGCGTTCAAAGTGCCATTTCTGATAGTTTCTTTTGTTACTTCTTTAGCTTCATTAGCTTCTTGATGGCTGAGCGAGGTCTGCACCTTTTGATTGAGCCTGAAAAGTACAATTATAAGAAGCAGCACTGTACAAGTGCATGGTCGGAGTTTATGCTTGTGTTTCAGAGAGGGAGCGGCAGGCAGTGATCGACCCTCGCCACTGATGATGTGTGATGAGTTCGACTTCGGGTTGTTTTGTTTGTAGACACCACGTTGCCAAGCGATTTCCGCTGTCCCGGAAATTGGTACGACAAAGGAAGTCTGTGATCAGCACACATCTGAGGCAGGTGATCTCCGTTGTCCGAGCATCTCGAGTCCTATCGAACACGAGCACCCGATCGGGCCTAAGCAACGCTTAGTCTACTTAACTAGGCGTTTATATAACCAGGAACCAGGAACCACAACCATATCCGAGGTTTTAGTCTGTCGTAAAGGACCACCTAAAGCGTCATAGATAATTGTCTTAAGCAGGTTGAAATCTACAGTGATTTGGGGGCGGATAAGTGTGGGAATGCGGTGGTCGGGAAGGAATACATCATCCAAGGGAGTGGATGAGGAAAGGCGCCGCCCTTCCAGTGCGGTTGTCCGGCGGTGGCACCCTATTGGTCCCCCCTAAGCAGCTATTGCTGCCACGACACCCAAAGAAAGCATAAGGGCTGAAATAATTCCGAATGTATACAGAAGCAGTGGGGATGCATATGCCGGGTTCGAATCACGGGCACTTCAGTCAGTAAGCATCTCGAGTCCTATCGAACACGAGCACCCGATCGGGCCTAAGCAACGCTTAGTCTACTTAACTAGGCGTTTATATAACCAGGAACCAGGAACCACAACCATATCCGAGGTTTTAGTCTGTCGTAAAGGACCACCTAAAGCGTCATAGATAATTGTCTTAAGCAGGTTGAAATCTACAGTGATTTGGGGGCGGATAAGTGTGGGAATGCGGTGGTCGGGAAGGAATACATCATCCAAGGGAGTGGATGAGGAAAGGCGCCGCCCTTCCAGTGCGGTTGTCCGGCGGTGGCACCCTATTGGTCCCCCCTAAGCAGCTATTGCTGCCACGACACCCAAAGAAATCATAAGGGCTGAAATAATTCCGAATGTATACAGAAGCAGTGGGGATGCATATGCCGGGTTCGAATCACGGGCACTTCAGTCAGTAAGTCCGCAATGTAACAAACGAGCTGTTTCGAACTCAGCGTAGAACTTTTTATGGTAATGTGATAGTCTCTCGCACTACACTTTGCCTCCTGGTACCTACAGGTTATTCTGGCCAGGCCCAGGTACGGCAGGGAAGAGGCGGATGTGGCCGAACCAGGGGGTGCACCACAACCCAGGATGAGATGGCGGTTGTTAACCGACTCGTTCAACTGTAGCACTTTTTCAGTGCCTAGCTGCCATTCACGAGGGCTGGAATACTGTCAGGTTGCCCAAGCCTAGACAGGAGAAGCCCAGAGGCAGAGGTCGGGTTCGAACCACGGACCCCCCGGTCAGTAGCTTCGCGCTCTAACCACTTGAGCCATCTCACGAAATCTGATAACGACTGCTAGCCGGCTGGGTTGGGATATTTATGGCGTTAAGATAAGGGGCACTGAAATAAATGCACATAGCAAACCGGTGCATTTATCCGGACTAGCTGACTTGATAAGCGCATGCTGAGTGGGGCCACAACTTTAGACCTCAAACAGACAGCTAACCCACGGCCGATCTCTGCAAGCGCCAATAGGCTTGGCTCAGGTTTGATTGGTCAGAAAAATGGCCGGTTGCAATCATTTCCGTAGGTTCAGCAGGTGCATACAGTCGAGTCAAGATGCATTCATAGATTCACGAATTGATACACAGGATCGAGGCTTTTCCCCAAGCTTCCCGGGTCGCTT